CGTACTAAAGTTGTACTACAAAGTCGCCAGTTCTCATCTTCCAGCTCTCCAGATACTCCGCGTACTAAAGTTGTACTACAAAGTCGCCAGTTCTCATTTTCCAGCTCCGCAGATACTCCGCGTACTAAAGTTGTACTACAAAGTCGCCAGTTCTCAGCTTCCAGCTCCGCAGATACTCCGCGTCCTAAAGTTGTACTACAAAGTCGCCAGTTCTCATCTTCCAGCTCCACAGATTGCTCCGCGTACTAAAGTTGTACTACAAAGTCGCCAGTTCTCATCTTCCAGCTCCCCAGATACTCCGCGCACTAAAGTTGTACTACAAAGTCACCAGTTCTCCGCAGAGGGTTGCGCGCGGACCGGACAAATCGCACTCTCGCCTGCACTTCGCGCACTCGACACGCACGATCTCCGCAGAGGGTTGCGCGGGCACCCGGCGAATCGCACTCTCGCCTGCATTTCGCGCACTCGACACGCACGATCTCCGCAGAGGGTTGCGCGCACACCGGACAAATCGCACTCTCACCTGCATTTCGCGCACTCGACACGCACGATCTCCGCAGAGGGTTGCACTTTCGGTTGATGCTGTTCGTCCCGCACTCCGCCTTTAAGAGAGAATTTATAAAGTGGGGAAATGTTTTTTTCATTAGGACATCTCCCGTGCTAGTTTTCCATACTCACACTACTCACACTTGCCTACTCATTGCATGCTTGCATAGTCATTGCATGCTTGCATGCTCACCCTTGCATATCATGCTTGCATACTTACACTTGCATACTTTGACACTGGCATACTTCGCACTTGGATGCTTTCGCTCTTCCAGTGTGTGTGTGTGTGTGTAAGTGTGAGTGTCGAAGTGTAAGTGTCGAAGTGTCAGTGTTCAAAGGATTTTCCGGAAGAACCCTTCGCAATGCTTTCGGGAAAAATGAGATGATGGAAAAAAAAAGAACTGTGTGCAGCATTTGAATTGAGTGGTTGAGCGGTTCTCTTTATGACCTAATCTTCTTGTCACAGGTTATGACCCCAGCCTTGCATGAAGGAAAGTGCGAGGCTATGTGCGGCAGAGCTCAGAGTTCTTCCAAGCCAAAGGCGAGCTCTGGGAAGGCCTGGCCCCAAGCGATCTGGGAAAGCCTAGCATCCATCTTAGCACAGAAACCTTTCATGTATACTTGGCTTTCGCTAAGAAACCAGGTGTGTAAACTGTGTAAACATGGAAATGTGGAGGCTTGGGTTCCACTGGTCATATTGTTTGAATATAAACTGTATACTGCAATATGCGTCTATATTCTCTGTTGCCATTATTTCCTGATGTCACACTTTGGGCCATTCTGAATCCCTCCCAATGTTCAAATCCAGAAGATCCGCACCTCGCAAAGGAGTGAGCGAGGTCCCAGTCGCACAGCCCGGTGCATCTGGCTCGTCAGGGCAGTCCATGGCATCAGCAGCATGGCGCAGTGCCTGGAACTGACCGTTGGTCAACGGGGATCCCTATGGGTCTCTCAGCTCAACTTAGATCCCAAAAAAGTACAGTATGTTAGCCGGGCTTTGTAGGTCCCCCATCGTGTTGAGACAAGCGACAAGCCCCATGGAGCTGTGGCTATTTTGCCCCTTTTGTAAACTGTTCAGGATTGTTCAGCCCAATCTTGATTCAACATGATTGAACATTTCGCAACCATTTGGCCCCATAGTCTTCTTCCCTCTTTGCTGCCTGCTGCTTGCTGTTGCTTACCATTTCCATACAGTACTGTTCTGATTCGAGCCTCCTCAAGCTCGGTTAACACACGTGGCCTGGAGCTAACCTTGGCTCAACAAAATGACAGAAAGTCTCGAACAGGATGAATGCCGTTGCCACACCACGGTTCTTGTGCAGAACAAGAGCTCTAAACTCACAATCAATTCGCTGGACCATCCTCTCCTGACTTCTTGATGCAGCTAGGTCTCGTATGTTCGAGCATATGCCCGCAAGTTCAGCAGCTCTGCTACGTCCAAAAGCACCTCGTTTGCAGGCGTTTGTGCTCACATTGTCACTTGGTGCGACAATAACAGCGAGCGACAGCTCCACAGCTTGATCCCACCTCTCGCAAGGCTGGACTTCGCTGTGCAAGTGCCTCTTTCCAGGTAGAAAAATTGAACGGCGTGAAGTCCGTGTTTCATGAAATCCATGAAAGTTGGACACCAAGAAAACAAAAGAAAGACAGCCAAGTGCTTGTTCACCGCGTCACATCTGCCAACTGCCAGCCTTCGATACCGCCTGCTGAGCTAGGTGGACCCCACCCCGGGTCGCACCAGCATCAAAGGCTAGGCGCCGAAGCCTGGTTTCGGATCGATTTCGATAAGGACATCCGAAGGACACCCAATTTCGAGTGCGCAAGGTTTCTGCAACTTAGTGATTTCGAGTCATTTCTGAGATCTTTCGAGACTGGTCCAACTAACTCAGGGCCGAGATGCAAGTTCCGCTGTAGTGGCAGCAATTCCAAAGGGCCCTCTGCGCCGAGTACTCGGGCAGTAGGGCAATGCTGGCACACAGGGCACCTGATGGGGGCGATGATGAAAAGCAGACCATCTGGTAGCGGTTAGTTAGTGGTGAAATGTTGTGGACCTATTGAGATGTCTCAACTACATAATGCACTCTCCACACCATCGGAGGAAAGAGGCACTCTCGTGAGCGTTCAAATCGGCACTGGACAGTGCCTGTCTGTAAGATCATTCACAGCTTGTCTTGCTCGCGCGCAGGAAAGCGGCTGTGAGACCTCATTGATAATGGCGGAAGCAGGTCACAGTTGCTTCAGGTCATTTCCACAAGTCTTCAACCAGTCGTTAGTCCATGTCTGTCGCTACGGAAGGCCGCTTAGAAGCGAGCGCTGCTGTCGCCCTCTGTCATTAGGGCTTGGTTGACAACTTCTAAAGCCTCAGTGGGATCCAGACCCAAGGTCATGCATCCAAGTTGACTATGCAAACTGAAGCTCGACAAAACCCTTTGGACCGCCTCTGGATTCTTCTCCAAAATTGAAATCAATGCCCAATGCGCCAGGTAGGGCCTTGCGGTACAAGGGTGGTCAGCGTGGCCTTTGGAACTAGAACCCTGGTCAGTTTCTGATTTTGACTTTGTTCGTGCAGGAATCGACCAAGCATTGCAGACCGCGCCGGTCAGTTGGTCAGCCTGGTCAAAAGAGGCTCAGCCTGGGGACATTGACGTTTGGTGGCCTGCCTGAGCAAAAGGGCTTCAGTCACGGAGTCCCGTCAGGGAGTCCGGGTCTAATTGTGCTGTAAAGGTAACCTCCGGCGATCAAACATAGCAACGGCAAAAGTCTTTGGAAAGTGATTTTTTGTTGATGAGTGGTTGCAACGGTTGTTGGGGAGAGGGTCAGGTCCACTCACCTATGCAAACCAAACATCAATTTTCTTGTGCCAGTCTCACCTTTGCCAATGTGCTGCCGTCCACAAGTGCTGGTGCTCAGAGAAAGAAACCAACACCCAGAATTGATTAGTATTTATCTGAATAGAGAAGGAAGACAGTTCATCTGAAGCGACCGAAGACACGCCCAATTCAAAGCAACCAACTTAGAGCAAGCCAGATTTCAGGATGAAAAAAAGCACGGAACAACAGGAAGAAGAACTGTGCATTGCATAAGGCAGAACATGGCAGAACAATAATAAACTCACCAAATTGGTCTCACAATGGGTGATAAAGGAATAGTAAAATTGCTGTTTCTTTACTTATATACAATGAGTCAATGAAGCATAAAAACAAATCAAACGGAAGAAGGAACTGCGAAAACCACTCAACAACTGGATTTCTATGGAGATCGTCAACCTCACCTGGCGGCACTGTCTACAGTGGCTCGCCACGTAGTGCAGCAAGCTGCTAGTCCTAGGGAATCGACCGATCGAGACAGGTACGATTTACGATTTGCTTCAGAGGCCGTTATATAGCTGGTTCATGAGCATCTACAGTTGAAGCTTGAAGGCTGTGCTCTTATGCAATTTCATGATCCTAAGAGGACGAGTACCTCCAAACCAACAATAGCGTCGTCTATCCAGGGCCACAGCTGCCCAAAACGCAAATGCCAGGGCCATGAGGCAGCAAAGGCTCCAGCAAGGCTCCTTAGTTACAACATTTCACCCACTGCACAACTGACTACATGTGGTGTACAGCCGCCCTCCTAGCCTTCCTCATCTTCCTGGGGAACGGATCAAACCTGAAAGCCTCTTTTCATCTCTCTTCCAGCCAGGCTTCTCACAAGAAAGTCATCACTGAACATTCCCTGTATCATAGTCGTTGAGGCCCGCTTGTGGCAGAAGCAAATGCGTGATGATATGTGTCAAATAAGTGGCCCTTGAAATCCGAAGAAGAAATGCTAAAAAAACGTCGGCATGGGGCTGTTTGCATGAGTTGTCCAGATGTGAATCTGATTTTTTTTTGCAGAGTTCCCTCAATCCATTCTCTTCATGGCACTTGATCTTTGGCCTCCGTTTTCAGAGGCTTGAGTTCAAATTCTCTACATCTCCAAGCGCCAAGTCCGAGCCAAAATAGGATGGATTTGTACGGCTTGTGGAAAAGTTGCAAAAATATGTGCCATGCTGCCATGCCTCAGCCACATGGCATGTCCTCACACCTCCAGGGCACTACATCAAATTCCCTTCACAGAATTTCTCTGCAAAACACTTTGAAACATTGGAAGGGAAGTGAAGTGGCTGCATGCCATGGATTTTCGGATTGCTCCACTCAGAAAGCGGGAGCATCCGGGCACCGCACGCGCCACAGGGAAGATACAGCGACTCTGCTGGAGGCCGACCAGACCTGGTCGTTACAGTAAAAAGAATGAAGCCAAAAGGGAAATCTGTTGAACTAATTACTGCAAGTGTCTCTAGCAGTGCATCGCACCAGGAGACTCTGTCAGGCGGCTTCCCGCATTCTGGCCATGCTTTATGCTTTGCCATGTGTTCAAATCATCTGAGCGGCTGCAAGGCACACTAGCTGAGCGGCAGGCCCGCATCTGTCCAGGAAGTTGCAAATGGTCGGATAGAGAAGGTGACCTGAAACATCCGTAGGACGTTTGCACAGTCCGGAAAGTTGTAGCCGAGATTCTAGAAGTAAGGTGTCTAGGTTGCCGGCAGTGGAGCATATTGCCTTCGCACTCTGTTTTGATGGTGATGCCACTCTGAATATCCACCTTAAATCTCTGGGCACAAAAGATGCTTGTCTTCAAGCCTGTTGAATCTGCTGGGAAAGCTGGGTGAGCCAACCCTGGACACCACGTCGTTGTCCGGCATGACTGTGAGGGCAACGTTGTGAAGATCCTGGAACTCCAGTCTTGGTGACATGCGATTGCGATAATCTGTACAGTCCCGATGTCTGCGCAGATTGAAGATCTTGCATCCCCTCATAGCAATCTGGGCTTCATAGACATCATAGACAGATAACAATTTCAGTTTGGTTAGTTTGCAAAACATACCAGCATGGACCCAAACAGTTTCAGCAGGATTTTGGGTGTGACTTCCTTGTATTCAAGTGTTGCTGGAAACATATCTAATTAAGATCCTGTAGCCTCCAGCTGCTTGCAAACAACATGTCATGTATACACATAAAACAATGTTCTTTGGTGAACAGGAAGATATCACAAGAAATGCATTCAGTGCCAAAAAACAATCCGGACAAGGCGGTGGAGAAAGGGAAAGCAGCGCGGCCAAGCCGGACAAGCAGGACACACAGATCAAGCCCAAACACAGCGAAGGAAAAAAGGCCCACGGCATCCGGACAAAGCCTAGACAAGGCCCGGACTGCCCACAGCGCGGCCACGCAGGACGCGCAAACCCGGACAAGGCCTGGACGGCGCGGCCAAGCAAAACACCCGAGCCCGGATATGGCCTGGACAAGGCGATGAAGAAAGGGCGGACGGTGCCCCTCTTCCTAAGAAATACACCAGCATAGACCCCAAACAGCTTATATAGTTGGCAAGAACCATTGTTGTCATGGGCGGCCGCAGCCCCAGCGCCCTGCATCGGAAAGCAATGTAAACAGCACGACAGCAGCAGGACAACAGAAAGACCAGGCGAGGACATGAGAAGGACAACAAAGGACTTTCAAAAGGATGAGGGAAGGAAAACAACACGAACACACCAAGAGGCCAAAAGGACAGCGGGGCGACATGAGGGGAGCATGCCAAGAGGAGAACAAGAGGAGAAGAGGAACGAGACCATGATGGGAGGAGCACGACCGGAGATAGGCTGGCGGAGGACAGGACCGAAAGGACTCACCGCTTTGTAGGGCGCGCTCGCGCGTTGTCATGTTTACAGGCTGACAGGCTGCCACGTGGCCATGCTGCGGTACTGCAGTCTTCGCGCTTGCCGGCAGGCCGGCAGGCGCTTTCCCAGTAGGTCCACGAGTGTCTTTCGCATTGGACCCTTTGATTGCCCTTGGCGGCGTCATGTCTTGATGCTGCCACACTGTCATCTGGACACCAGTAGAAGGACACAAGGACAACAGGAGATAAGAAGAGGACAACAGGAGGACAAGCAGAAGACAGAGGACAAAAAAATGACAACAGGAGGATAAGGCATAAGGCCTGGAGAGTGGCTGGCAGCCGCGGGGCAACAACAGGGTACAAAAGGACAACACGAGGCTCGAGGTCAAGAAAGCGCGACCAAGCTGCACACCAGAACAAGGCAAATGAGCAACTCTTTCTCTGCTGCAACTTGTGTCTTCGTGGTGATTGAGAAGCTGCTCGAGAATCGCTTGTCCGGGCCATGAACTGGAATTAAAACCAGGAAATGCATACGGAACTGAATTCGGTTTGCCACCAGCCAGCCGATGCCATCAGGGTATCCCACACTTGCCGCCACTGTTGCAGCGTCTTCGACGCAGCCTCCACTACCACAAGAGTGTTGCCGCCTTCCTTCCCCGTGTTTGAACGGACAAAGAAGGAGGACGGCGGAGGGTCGCCAAGTTCGTCTTCGTAAGCGTAAGAGACCAGGGTGAACATGTATGTAAACCTTCAAAACCTTGAGCCCGTGAATCTGAAAGGCTTGGCCGCGTGAATCTCAAAGGCTTGGTGGACGAGCGCATGACTGCAGCAGAGTGCGTGGCCACTTTACATCAACCTGGCTGACCTGAAACAGCCTGAGCTAGGGGAACCATAGGAGTCAGTGTGTTCTCAAGCAAGTACAAGTCTGCACGTCCACAGGTTCGTTGGCTAGCGTCGAGAAATGGGCCGCTAGCCCTGCAAGAAACCTTAAAACACCAACAGGCAATCTATGAATCCAAGGTGTTCACACGCTCAGGATATTGCGCTCGGAATTTAATGCTTCATGCCACACGCCCACCTAGGTATGAAAGCCCAAGGGGACAGGGAAAAGGTATGTAAGCGGTCTGAACATGAAGGCCTCCATAAGGCTCAAAGATCTCAATGTTCTCGAAAAGTGAAAACCGAGAGTCGACTAGCAAGGAGTGCACATCTGCAGACCTGAATCCTGCAACAGCCTGAGGACATCTACGATTGGAGAGTGGCTAAAACATTCACAACTCAGGCGCAGGTACCTCGAGTTGATCAGACTCGGTATTCCTTAATTATAATTGTGGTACGAGTAGCTTCGTTGCGTGGGGTCCCACAATCATGCCGCTCCCCTGCTAAAAATTAATGAAAAAAACGACATCGACTTTCCGGATGTTGCTTAGCGTGTCGGAATCAACATCTCCTGAATCATGTTCTGCCGGAAGACCAAATAGCTGGTGGATTCCAACCCCGGTGCCATGAAGGTCACAGCCTAAGGAGCACTTGCGCAACCAAATCCCAGACTATCACAGTCACATGATTATTCGGCTTTGAGTCAACACCTCAGATCCCTCATGTGCTGATCACCCTACGGGATTTGAAGGGTCTCTGCCAGTCTGTGGATGACTTGACTTCAGCTGAACTCACCGTTTCGTCCGGGCTGCCACACTGGAATGCCGACTTTGGCAGCCACCAACTTGGCCAGACCACCCCCTAAGGAGTGGCCGGTGATGTACAAACGCCTTGAAACGCTGCTTGCGCACGTCCAACACTGCAAAACATGGGATGGCCAAAAAACACGGTTCACAGAAATGTCGACACTTCAAGTTGGCTGGCCGCTATGCTGCATCCAACAAGCAGGAATCGCAGTGGCACTGACTCTGATCCTTCTGGTGTGATTCCATAATCGAAAGAATTGGCCAACATGCTCAGGTCGTGCTTTCAGGCACAGTGGCGCAGCATGAAAATTGCTCTTTCTCCGTGGGATCCTTCACTTTACAATTGTTTCAAGACTATAAAAGCGTAGAGACTGATGGCAAGTCTAAATTGAGGCCAATCACTGAATGCAGAACATATCGGAATATGTTTCTTCAAACGGATAGATCATACAAGGCAAATGTGTCTCTGTGTGGCCTCTCTGGAAACTGGTCCCGGCGTCGTTGCACATCCTCTAGCAAATGAGAGAAGTACCTGACAAACCGATGTGGTCATCTCTTTTGCGCAGAAAGGACGCTTTGCGACCATCTGCGCACTGCTTCTGGAGGCCATCCGAGTAGATGGGTGTGGACACCCGGGCCATGGCCTTTCGTCCCATCGACGGGTCAGCCAGGACGAGCGAATGGATTCGAATCGAAGTGGCCTCTGCAACTGCATCCGAGAGCTTTGGACCTCAACAACATTCCAGAAAGAAAACACACATGTTGCCTCAAGCTCTTGCCATGTGGCCATGTCCAAAATACCAAGACCCATGTTTGCCTACAAGGCAGGTCGACATAGCTATTTTAGAAGCCTTCACGCTGGCAGAAGTGCAGGAAATTCATTCCTCTCACATCTTTGGGCTGGTAAAGGAGGAACATCCTGGCGGACAGGATTCAAGCTACTAGGCATCGCTACGAGTAACAAGCACGCTACTAGTAGCTCCTAGCCTTACTACTAGTAACAAGAAGCTAGTAACAAGGGCATTGCTACTAGTAGCAAGAAGCTACCACGTCCGACGATCACGGAGACGGTGCGAGCCCGACCAATCGCTTTTGCACACCTGCCATTCGCCTGCGACAGTCGATCAACATCACCAATGCAGCCTCCCGCCTGAACAATGGGTCGCAGGCACGGTCGGCAACCTTGCAAGGACACTGCTGACTTGAAAACCAACAACAACGTCTGCAACGAAACAGAGCCCGGAACAAATGTTTCTACATGTGTCTACCATCCGTGAATTTCAACTGTGGCCTCCTTCATAGAGACGCCATCGGGCAACCGCAGCTCCTTGCGGGAAATGGGTGAATCTTTGCCCATTGAAGGTTGATGAAAGGTGCCTCATGGCTGTGCGGCTGCAGGAATACTGCCAAGGTGGCCCTCTCGTAGCCTGCATCCGACTTCAGATCCAGACCGATGTGAACCAACGACAGAACCTGCGATCGTCACATCATCCCGGATCAACCGCTCCAGGATCTTCGTCTGATCTCCTAGGGCCCTTCCTGCGAAAGATAGTGCGTAGCCTGTTTGTACAGGGTGTGGATCACCTAGTGCCCATTTCTTGTCCTTTGTTGGTGGTTTGCTTGGACCTCCTTGGCAGGATAACCTTTTAGAAGGTTTGATGTGGCTAGACGCGGCTAGAAGCCTAGAGAACCTTTTGGTGGTGCACTGTGTACATGGAGAGTGTTTGAGATAGTTCTCTTTAGTTTTGTGCGCTTCCCAGATGAAGAACCAAACAAAGTTCGAAAAGAGGGTTGCCTGAAGACCTCCCGGACAGCAAGTCAAAGAATTCCAAGCACACTTACAGTACAAGCAAAACCAAGACCCCATTGCAAAGCCTCTGCCGTGGCTCGGAGGTCCGCGAACACAATGCCTCAACAATATCTGCCAAGCTCCCGAAAGAACTATCAAGTTCTTCAATACAAACACCTTCACAGACGACCAATCACCATTCTGAAGCTGAGATGCTCTGTTGCGTGGTAGAGTCCACCAGAGACAATTTGCAAAGCCTCCAGACTCCAAACGGCGGAATTGAAAAGCCAAGAACTCCAGAGCGAACTGACCTTTCACTCACCAGCCGCCCGAGCCTCTCCCACCTGAAAGAAAAGGCATTCACCAACTCCATCAGGTTTCTGAATTTGAATGGTCTTGCCCTTCCTCGAGTGCAAACGAACGCGGAAGCTTCTTGAATTGCGAAGATGTCTTTCCTCCCAAACTCCCTGGCTGGCCCTGTCCTGTTCCTCACGTAAAGGCCTACCTCCGGGTCAGGACAAGCCATCTGCTTGCCCGAACTATCGAGAAAGATCCCTGGCACGAGGACGGTGAGCAGCCCAGTGTCCTGGCATTAGTTCATCATAGTTCATCTTCATATGTTTTTCTCACATTTTCTCGCTGGTCTCGTCATGGTCATGAAGCTGGAAGTGCCGACACACGATCCTTGTGTGGTGGTGCCCACATGCCTTTGGAGGCTGCACACTGCTCTGGTGTGTCAAAATCCTGCAGTGAGGCTGGTTGCGGCAGGATTATGTTATGTTTGTCTTCAGGAACTTCCGGAAGCTACAGGCTGCGAAACAAATTACCACAATCAAACAAATAACACATACATAACTAACCTGAAGAACCCGGACTGTACCGCACAGGCGGACAAATATTCAATATCTTCCTGGAACACTCCAAGAACTCCAAGTGCTTCTGAGTCAAATTAGATGTTCTGCAAATAATTAGCTGTTGAGTGCAAGCTTCATGGTAGCAAATCAGTCGGCACTTGTGGTTGCACTTCTCAGCAGGAGCGATCAGCTCTCGAAGCGTTCCCGGTCGATAGCCCGGAAGAACCTCCAGCTGGTCAGAGGTAGAACCAGTCAGTTGTGACGAACTACACAGTCCTCTGGATTTCGTAGCAGTAGAAAATAAAGCACAACAAGTAGACCCAACCATCTAAATTGTGACAAGTCAAATCTGAAACATACATCAACCCAACCCCATCCAAACCCACATCAACCTTGTGTCATGTGGACCATATGACGTATTATGACGGACTCCCAACCCCAAACACAACGCGTCTTTCTTCTCATCAATTCACGTCGCCTGACTGCACCGCCAATCCACGGCAGCGGCCAGCAACCTGCCCAGCTCAACCAGCCGGGGTGCACATTGCCGGGCCAAGGATCGAAGCTGCGGCAGATCCTGCATCTGGAAGCTGCGGCACACGAAAAATAGATGTTTCTTCATGCAACAACTCATCCCTGCGCATACCCAAATTCTTGACTTTGCGCTTCGACAGAGGCCAAATGGATCCAAAGTCCTTGTCTGGCCACAGGTTCGGCGTGTAGAAGGTTGGCTCTGATGTTACATCCGGCGGCAAGCAATCAGCTGGATTGTCAAGCGCTGGATGAAAGTAGAAGCCGGTGCGGTTCCCATCAACACCTATTCAAGAATTCAAGGAATGTGCCCACATTAACTTGTCTTGCACACCGTCATTGTGTCCCTTCTCCATGATGTCCATGCCTCTGGAATAGTTGTTGACGTTCAGAGTCCCCTTCTCGCGGATAGCATCCTGAACAAGAAGTCTATGTGAAAGCTTTGAGGTGGCTCAAATCAACACAAAGCGCATTCAACCTTTTCTATTCCTCAAGAAATTGGCTCCCGTGTAGCTTGAAAAAGAAATGCAAACATGTTCTGGATTGGTGCCTCGTGCCCCCAATTTTGTGAAAATGCAAAAGAAGGTTGCTCGGTGATTTCTACATTTTCTACCCACTCTTCTCCCATTACTCTCGCGATGACCTTGGACTCCTCTGGAAGTCGGGCCAGGTCTTGCGCCAAGGGCAGCAACTCCAGCCGCAAGCGGCGGATCAGCACTTGGAAGTCCTCGCAATCACCCCACCAATCGCAGACCCACATAGGACACAACAATTTCCCTTGGATTCCTCTGCGAAGCAAACCTGGTTGAACACGAGTGGCCTCAGTGAGTCCCTCTTCATTCCTTCGCCATCGTTGAACGAAGATCTTCGGAGCTGGATGGAGTCTGCCCCAATGGATTCGTCTCATCTGGTCGTCTGGTCGTCCCTTCGTCTCCTCGTCTCCAGTGACGCACACCAAACCAAGGCCTTCAGGACCAAAAGCAGCATCCAGCGCAGATGCCAGCTCCTCGGCCTGCAAAGATGTTATTGTTCATAAGTTAAGGGTGTATGATATGTATGTATATAGAGATCTAGAGATATTACAGCAAGGAGTAGAGAGGAGACCAGCCAAAAGCATTCGAGGCTCTCACACACCCCTATCAAACGACAGTGAACCCCTGCAGTTTGGCTAGTGGTAATTTACAATCTAGTTGTCACCCATACTGAGCTCCAGTGCTTGGTTAAAAGTGCTTGCAGTAGCTCCCTTGGAGTTTTTCATAGCTACATCTGTCAGGAGTCCTGGGCAGGCTCAGACTCGCCAGGAGGCGGTAGCCATGCCAGGTCCAAGCATGGAACAGCCATGGACATGGAAGCTGTGAATTGTAAACTTGAGCCTCATCTTCGTTTCTGGCAGCTTGAGTGGTTTCAGGTAGCTTCATCTTGCTGTTTGAAACACCTGAATTCCACGCTTTCCGGCTGAATTTACTTGCCTTCAGGTGCAGAATGTCGTGGTGGTCTACCCTGGTTTGAGAGGAAATCAGCCTGTCTTTTCGAGATTATTCAAGTTCCTAACTAGCTCATTGCATTCTGCGATGCTTCGAGCCATTCTCTGTTATCGAAAAACATGCTGGAGACCGCAATGTTGACAGAACATAAACAAGCCCGGAACAAAGGGCATCGCTACTAGGAGCAAGGACGCTACTAGTAGCTCCTGGCATCACTACTAGTAACTAGTAACAAGAAGCTACTAGGAACAAAGGGCGCACCTAAATGGTTGTGGAGTCATGAAGATTTTACCATCGAATTGTGTTGGACAGTAATACGGTGCTGAGCTGACAATTCCTTAAGGTATGGGCCCACAATGCTGAAAGCGTCCATGAACGCTGCAGGCAACCAAATGTTCATGTCGTCCTGGCGAGCACACCGTGGAAGTAAGCAAGTAAGCCTGATATCATACTGGTGTTCATGCACAAGCATGTGGAACTGAACCCACAAGCTCTGAAGCGAAACGGGAGCGACAAATCTGCCAGAATACCAACACGTCCAACATCGTGCTTGTTCCGCGGATGGCAATGACAGAGGTAGTGTTCCTTTGAACATGCAAAAGGAGGAAACAAGTTGGGCTCAGTGTCCAAGCATAAGTGGCTCCATGTGTGTGTGTGGCTGTGTGTAGCTGCTTACTTTGCCAATCATGACTGGAACAGGCTTGTGATGATTTGGATTGATTTGGCATTCTTTCTCAGTCTGCCAATGGTGACTTAATGAATACATTTCACTCCCTGGAATACCCTGCAAAAAAATGTCAGGAAACAGAGATAAACAGAGTATCTTATTTTATCCAACCTGTAGAACTTGTAGTCGAGACCTGTAAAACTCTCATGTCGAACTTGCCAACAAGTCTGAGACTTCGACTCCGGATCCTCAAACTCGAAGTAGGTCGTCCTGGAAGCACTCGAAATTGCACGAAGTTTGGTCTCTACGTTCGTTGGGCTGCGACACGTGCAAAGGAAATGGGGAGCGGCTTCTTTCAAAAGGCACAGGCAGTTTCTTCCAACGGCTGAGGAGGTGCAACGCCTCACTCACAGAAACAAAGAATAACACCGAATCCTATGGTTATCTTCTTGCATTCTTTGCAAACGATTTCTTGTTAATGAGATGCTCAATGATGGGACTGAAACTTCACAGTTGGGCCATTGGTGTTTCTTAAGTAGTCAAGAAATACTGCACCTTCTTCCAGTGACAAATACTTTGCCGTCGCCTGGTGCCACTGTGTGCCCTTCTCACACGCGCTGATGGCTGCTCCGCAGCTCACAGAATCCGGCATGACCGCGGCGGCGAACATGATCAGGGCAGCCTTTCTTGTGGAAGATCGACAACACAGTCGGGTTTTGTGCTGGTTCAGCGTATGGAACACGCTTGCAAGGACATGCAGCGCGCAAGTCGCTGAAACATTTCATCTCCGCACCCATTTGCATGACAGTCATCTGCAAAATCTACCAAAAAGGGTAAGTTTGGCCATGAAAGGAGTTGTGATTATTTCCATTGTATGGGGGCTGTCAAACGTTGATTTAAGAAGCTCAGGACCGGCTTTTGTTTTCCTCACTAGCATGAGAGGTTCGCTGCGCCTATTGAGCTGATCGACCGTTTGATTGATCCATGGTTCGATTGATTGTTTCTGTGCTTCATTGGGTTTGCCAATGCTTTGGCTGTTTGATCGATTTGCCGAAATGTTTCCTGGCCAGCCGGCTGGTTCAATTGGTTGCTTGGTTGATTGAGTGCGCGATCTTGTCGGTTCATGATTACGTTAGCAACGTGCTAGTTTCCACTTCATAGATCAGGGTCACACTGAGTAATGCACAGCACCTACTCTCATGGGACGTCACGATCCTATGAGTTAAGGCCTGAGTAGTGCCTGGATCGCTTTAGCGGCTGCTATGCCATGGCACGTGGGCATTTCCCCAGATGGCGGGAACTGTTGGCTCTTACTTCAAGATTAAACAGAGGTGCTTGTGTGCGCGTTGCTGGTGCCGCTGCAGGGCACAGCTGCCAAGTGTGTGTGGCCGCGTCGGCTGTAGAGCCTGCGTGCTGAGACCGCTGGCCGCTGGCAGGGCGCCGCTCCAGGCGGCTGCTGCGAGATGTCTATGGCCCTTTGTGCTTTTGAAGGCTGGGCGCTGCTACTATCCTGTGAGTCTCCTTGTTCTTGCTGACCAAAGCTTTTTGGACTCAATTGCATCCAGAACAACTATTTACCTGATGTGTTGAATCACTTTAGCAGAAGTAGTGAAGTGGTGGCATACAATTTCCTGCGGCGATGTGTCAGTATGACAGGGTTCGTGGTGAAGTATTGGCAGAGGCTGTGGTGTTTTGGGGCATCGAGACGGGTCTCCACCATGATGATCATCACTTCACTATATCTCGTCCCCAAATCCAGTCAATGACCGACTTGCCCAGGGAGGTAATATTGGTGCCGCTGCAGGGTGCCGCTGCAGGGCGCCGCTGCTTTGGAGCAAGCGCTTGTCATCTGGGACACTCCATTAGCTCAATCATTTGGTTAGGTCCTTAGGTCGCCAATGAGGTCGGGTTGACATTAACTGGCCGCCAACAAGACTTTGATAAGGATCCGCAAGGCGCTGTCCGCTAGTTCGGCTGGTGGCATCCCAGTAGGTCCCCAGAAGAGATACGTCAGGTTTCCGTCCAAAATTTGGTCAACAGGGTCTTGTTCCAGTTTTTTGTTTCTGAAGAAGGTCCTGACACACCATGTCATCTAGATACAAAGTCATTGACAGCTTTGTGTTTGGAAGCCAAAACTGCTTTTAGAGTCATCCACCCATAGAACCCGTTATGCGTTGAGTCGCCAATCCCAGCGCCACCCGCTTTCCGGACGCCCGCGCCGCGCTCGAACTAAGCGAGCGCTTGGTCGCTCCAGACGCGCAAACTCTTTCGGCGTCAGTTCTTCAGTTTGTTTCTTGGACGTTCGACCCATGTCGGTACTTTTGCGCGAAGCATGATTGGTGGCAGTTTCAAGCAGAGCCCCATAAACAAGTCCAGTCGGATTGACTTTTGGCTTTAGAAGTATATACTGCAAATTGTGTTGTCTGCATTTCTGTTGTCGTCCCCCCTGATCACAATTCTGGCCTTCAGATTCCTAAACTCTCGGGCTTCGTAGTTCTTTATTGACAAGATTGTCATGAGCTTGCCAACGTTGATATCTTCACCCTTTGGTTCAGGCCTTGGAATGAGATCACCCTTAGGGGTTGCTTCATCAAAAGACAAAGTGTTATTCCCGTTCGCCCCCTTAGCCTCTGAATTGCGTCTTCCCGACTTGGACATTGGCGCCATTCATTCCGGTTCAAACGCAAATGCATGGCTGCCAAACTTCCTCGGTTTTGAACTCTTCATGTTCCACTGGTGCGAACACAAGTTCAACTGGCATGGCTGGAAAATCGGTCTCATACAGACTCCAGGACACGCATCGTGCCACAGGCGTGGAGTAGTAGGCGCTTTCAAGAGTTGCGCTCCCTTTCGAAGGAGCATGCTGGAAGCCCTTCACGCATCGGTGTGCATTTGAGTTCTTCGTCAGCTTCCAACTAGAAGTCACACTTCTCCACGTTTTTGAGACATGGAACCTCGTTCTTGACACACATACAAAGGCACATCCCTGTGGTTGGAAGCAATTTTGCTCACAAATTGCAGCAACTCAGACAATTTCCATCCCTCTACTGATTTGGGCCAGTCCAAACAATGACCATCACTTTGCTGATGACCTCAGCACATGTGATGAAGTTCCTCAAAAATCTTGAGAGACCTTTGATGATTTTTGTTGGGATCTCTATCGTATTGCTGACAACCAAGTAGACCACATCGTCCACACGGTATGGAAGCAGTCCATATCACTAGGCATGACAGCTTGGTCCAACGTATCCCTCGATCCTGCAATTCTTGGAGCAACAAAACTCAAAAGCACGTTCTGCACTTTTCACGAGCTTTGCGTGAATTCTTTGTTGTCTTTTCTCCTGTGCATCCTTAGTCGAAGCTTCCCGTATCGGTGTTCTTTCCGCCTTCCAGAAAATTGGCTGTTGCTGCAAGCAACTCGGCTTCTGATTCATTGAGCAATGGGCTGTTTGGATAAAGCCAAGCTCGAAGTTCCTGAAGGCACAGCAGACATGACTTGAAACTCCGTGCCACGAAGCTTTCGACTTGGCGACGCAAACGAAGGGGGCATCTGCAACCCATGGTTTGCCACCTCAGCTTGCCCCCTTTGCTTCCCTATGAGCCTTTTCAACAAAAGCCTTCATGCACAGGTCTCTTGCCTAGCCATTCATAAAGCTTCTTCCATTTTGCTGGGCTTGGGGTTGGACTGCTCGGACTGAGGCCAAAGCTTCTGTTTCGATCTGGCCTACTGCGATACTAGCTGGCTGGTTTGCCAACTCAACCCTTGGTTCTTTCGAGGTCTGCCAGTTACGCTGCGAATTTCCTTGGATCAACGCTGCTCTTTGGTTGGCCTCCCTAACTGCACTATCAACTAAAAAACAGTTACCCTTTGAGTCTCTAACCTCGCCCTAGCGATCTCTTGGTGAGCCTCTGCAACAATGACTGGGCTCGCTGCAACATTCAACTGGTTCAGAGTTTGGCTTTGAACCTGGTGAGTGAGGCTAACATGCTGACGGGCCCTTGCTTCTTCAATGACATCTGTACTAAATGGCGCTTGCGGCTTGGACTGTTTCTCTGGACATCATTGACAGTGTCGGCCACTCTGCAAGAAAGGCCCCACCCCTTCAGCGCGTTCAGAATGCGCTTTTCCTCCTCAATTTGACGTGTACCTGATGGATTCTTAGATCAACTCTATCAATTCAATCTTAGATATTGGGCCTTCGTAAAGTCAGCAAGTATGCCGCGAACGTGTCGTCAATGCAGCGCGGAAGCGAAAAGGTTTTGGAAGTCTGCGGGGCCGTGGCCAATAGCCCTGTCACCCCTTCTCTCTCACGGGTCACAAACAAAGCCTGAAGGGCCTGAAGCAAGTCTTCACTGCGGATCTCTGGTGTCTGATTGCAACTTGCAACCCGTCAAAATCCCTTCGTCTAAGCTCCTTGAAGAAGATTCGATATGGCACCCAATCTTCCGAGCTCGAAATGACTTCCCTGCAACACTGACCTCTGCACTTGTATACTTCCAATCCGCCTCGCACTGCCAGTCTGATCGAAGCACAAAAGGATACATGTTGCTGCAATGCCCACCTTCTAGACTTCGAGTGTCTCAGCTTCTGTTTGTAGCCCCTTCGACCTCCACGGGGCGAGTGTATACAATGCCAAAGGACGTCCCCAATAAGCTCGACAGGCTCTTCAGAGGGATCCAAGTAAAAGGTGATTGTGAAAGCTGCAGACCGTACAAAGACCTACGGCTGATAACTACCAGGGATGGCGCGCACCGAAGGCACACGTTTCCTCAATCTTCAGCCAAGTGTCACAAGCAAGTCTGTTTGGACTGTTTGGACGGCAGTTTCTAATGAGCGATTCCCTTGCGCTTAAGGGATCAGGCCTGCGTGCAAATGTGATACCTTTCACTGTGAAACTGGCTGGACAAGCTTTAGGGTTCCGTTTATGCGTGCACTTCTACTTGTATTGAGCATAGATTGCCAAATTCAGGATGTGAGGAACCGAGTATGACAGAGCTCTGCACTGGGAATCATCCAGCAGCATGCTTGGTGCTTGTTTAGACCCACCAGCCTGCCATTGCGAAGCCTTCTCACAGGCTGTGATCAATGCATTGTAGGTCGCCGTGGTGTTCCTCACACAGAGCGCGCTCAACGCAAGCTGACCGTTTGTAGAAACCCCTCGAGTGCTTAGATCCGCCTCGATATCTGGTCGTGTAGAAATTGATGTCTGCTCAAAGCAAGAGGTGGAGAAGGCAAGGAGAAACAAAACCAAAATCTCGCGTGTAGCTTTGTGGTGGATGTTGTGCCTTCTCTTGCGACCTGCTTGAAAAAAACACTTGATCCACACTGGGACATTCCAGGTTAACGCCCAGCCAAGATTCCGCAGCTGCAGGTGCCTCATGGCCTCAAAGAGGCCTAAGGCAGCTTGCCACTGTGCACCTGAAGTGTTTGAAGAAATCTCTGCAACCCCTGAACTCATGAGACCCATGTCACATGTTTGCACTTTTGGAGTGGGACTGGGCTTTCACAGGCAGAAATCTGACTGCCCACGACTGAAAAGAAGCGTTCGTGCATCACAAACATCCCGAAGGGTTGGAGACCGAACACGTAGTCGCATTTCACAACAGGATGAAGTGACTCAATGATGTAAACTATCATATGCTTACCTTAAAACACTAGAACTGACCAATGGGACAAACAGGAGGATTTGTTGCTGTTCTATGTCTTTTTCGGAGCATCGCTTCAAAGATGTTTTTTTTTGCGAATAAGTTGTGCCATAGAATGGCCATGCAAAAACTCGCTCTCTTGTTTGGCGCACGGCTGAGGGACAGAGTGGCTTTGAAAGCTCTTTTGAACAAGCTGCATAAGGATTCTCACATGTTGCGCATGAGAAGCACAATATGACATCCGCATCTGAAGGTCGCAGCTCCGCAGCTCCGGTGTCGAAGAGTTCCCGACATGTCGAGACTGAAGACTTGTCCAGACTCTGCTGCGACTCAACGAAATCGTGAATTGAACAAAACCCCCCCCAGCCCCCCCCCCCCCCCCCGCACACCAACAATCAAGTCATTTCTCACCAATGGCCACCGGGTCGGAAAAAGGTGAAAAGAAAACTTGACTTCATGACTTCAACAATCGGTAAATGAGAACCGCTACACGTTTGGTTTCCGACCCGGTGGCACAAACATCGTCCCCCAGTGACTCTATTATTACAGTAATGCAATGTCCCAATTCTGTTTGAACTTGAACACGTCAAATCTTTGCTGGTGCACCCATTGAGCAGCTGCTCACAGCTGCATTGAAGGTGATGGTGTTCCTGGCACTTGAAAAGAAGGCAGCTTAAGTCGTCATGACAGGTGCGAGTCGCAGCACAGTGCTACATGACATTGATACCTGCATGCTGTAACTCTAACTTGCCGATTTGAAAGACTGCGCCTTGACAAGGTCATCTGCCACATTTCCTTCAGAAGGTCCAAGGATCTTTGCCACAAGGACGCCTTTGCACAAGCGGAAATGGCAGAGCTGAAGCTGCGAGCGGTGAAGGAGATCTGTTTCTCCTGCATCTCCTGCATGTGCAGAAGCAAAGCCTGATCTTCTAGGCATGAACCTTCACGGGCATCACCCAGCCAACAAGTGATGTCCTTTTGATCTCCGGAAAACAGTGAAAGAACCAACGCCTCTATGGTCAGTGAGGGGGTCGTCATGGCCTCAAAGCCACATCTCTCGTCTCATTCTTCAGGGGACCTCATGGACATCCTAATCCGCCGACCCCGGCTTAGCGAATGCCCAGGCGGGGTTGACAACTAGGCGAAAAATGCTGTACAGTCCTAGGGTTTTTCAAAGTTCGAGTGAAAAAAGGCAGCATGCAAGGGGACAAAAACAGCGTAAACTAGGGCATTTTTGTTGTAGGGTTGGCGTGGGAAAACGCTGGAGAAACCTGCATTTTTGAGCATGTTGTAGCCTAAAGCTATCTGTGTTTACAGGGTTGGCTGACGCCAAGGTGGCTCCGACGTCACCCATTGGGTGTGCCCGCGCCCGTGTGTGCGTGTGCTTTCGTGTGCGTGCGGGTGCGGGTGTGCATGTGCATGTGTCTGAAGTTGAGGTTGCCAGGCTTTTAGTAGATGGGGTGCGTCGTGTGTTGCGTGAGCGGGCTTTATAAGCATCTAAAGAACTCAGAATGACGTGGACTGGGTCAGTCTAGTAAGGCTGCTTTTCAAATCTGATCATGGTTGGAAGCAACATCTTTGACCAAAAAATAGGCCTTGCAAATTATTTATGTATCGCGCTGCCATGACCTTGAACCCTTCTCTTGCAGCGAAAACCCTGCGGATACGTGCAGTCCCCCCCAAGGGCATCGTCGGTTGGCGAAGCCTGTCAGTACCTCCTAGATATGATCCATCCCCCAATCCCACCACCGTCACCGGGAGACGGACGTCCTGGAAGAGTGCTAAGCTGCGTTGCCATTGTGATCCCTTGACACAGGTGGCCATGGTCGCGTTGAAGGCAACTGAGGCATTCCGGAATCGACCCCTCTGCACCATCTGGAAGATCGCTAAAGCTTCGCCCCAAGCGCCAGACCACCACCTTATGGCCTGCACGTAATGGAAGAGGGGAATCGGAATCCTCAGCGCCCAGCGACGTTTGTGGCACGGTGCACTGCGTGTTCAGACGAGTTCTCAGCTTCCAAGGACCCAACCTGGCCACCCTGAGCTGCTGCAACAGGGCGTAGGCGGCACCGTGAGCGGCGCCTGCCTCCAAGTTCGCCACAGCTTTCGTGGGCCAGCCCAAGGGCCAAGGCAGGCGCCCTGGCCTGACAAGAGTGACAACACATGTCTGAACCTGAAAAAAAATTGTATTTTTGTGCCCTTTTGGATTGCAGTGTCAGTATGTGATGGTGTGATCTACATGCCTTGTCTGGCTTCACAAGGACATCAGCCAAGAGATGCCTCTGCAAAGGTCCGAGGGCATCTTCAGTCTGCTTGGCCGGCTGCATGATGTGGGTACTTCATGGCTGCTGTCTGGCCCTCCTTTGCTCCCTTTGGGAACAAAGTACCAAGGAAAATAGGATGCAGCAGCAATCCAAACTACGGTCACAGCGTGTCGGTATTCTTCTAAAAATTCTTGGCACCTTGGGAACAACTGAGTTTTTCATCCACGAATCTATGCTGCTTTCTTGCTGCAATTCATCCATGGTGACTGACACCTTGTCCGAGCAAGCTGGTGCTAAAGCCTGCATCGAAAGTTGAGGTCTGGCAGCAGGTCCAAAGCATAATCGGAATCGGAATAATGATCTACAACCGACACGCAAGACAAAGCAGTCCAGTCTAGGCTGGCTTCTGCATCTGTAGTGCCTGCCACGTCCATGACATCCCCATACTGGATCTTCCATGACATCCACAGGTCTTGAGAAGCGCACATAAAATATGGAAGACACTAATCTTTCGTACCTGCACGGCGTGAATAGGTCAGCTTCCAGCCAGGATGGTAGCCTTGGATTGAAACACCTATATACTCGAACGACGGCCACAAACCATTGGGCGAAGAGATCGTTGCGGCCAAAGATCGTTGCAGACCACGTGGCAAGCCATCCTGGTCCAGTCATGCTTAAGTTTCCCTCAAAATCTAGGAACCAAATCATTAGTGCAAGCCTGAGATATCCTGCGTCCTGTTGCTAGAACTAACTTAGCCCAGCAGCTTACTTCCTTAATTAAGTGGGTGCCTACTGAATTAAGTAGGAGCGGGCTTAAAGAAATAGAAGAAAAGAAATCGTATATAAAACTATAGTACATGTATTCGATTCTCATTCTTGCTGTTAATTTTAAAAGCACCTTACGCGAGGTACAAAGGCGGAAGGTTTCAGCCCCATTTCATGCCGTTCATACAAGAAACCTGTGTGGCCCCATGCGTCCTCAGATTCATATGCCAAGGCAGAGAAAAGTGCGAAGTCCGGGATGCTCAGGGCCTTCTCCCTGCGCCATTTCAACAATTGCACTTCGTTCAGAAATGAAAGCAAGAAGGTCAAGGAGACTGCGTTGGCAAAGCGTACCCACGCACTCCGTAGGTGTAGTGCTGGTTGCATTCGACGGGCGTTGTAGTGTTGGCACTGAAAATGGGAACCTGCCATTGGTCCGCCAGTGCGTCTCTATAAAGATCAGGGTTTCCACAGTAGCTTTCAAGTCCCCATGTGACTTCCCATGTTACACAAATCTGGTGAATCTTTTTGCACTGGAATCGAGAACACAGCGGATGCCTCGTAGTACTTGCATCCAGGTGTGCCCTCTTTGCAGAAAGCGGACCAATCACTATTGACATTGAGAGTAGCCTGGCATGCCGACATCACCCACAAGTCTGTTCTGACTCAAAAGCACGGACAGCACACACAGTTACATAGTCCTTTAATGTCCTTTCCAGAGTCTTTCAAAAAATAAAAATGGAGCACTTGCTTCGGTATGTGCATGCTCAAGAAGAGATGGGCGAAAGCTCTTCTCTCCAAACGAGGAAGGGAGGGCAAGGGTCAGCACGACCACTCCAACCTGGGCAGACTGTAGCACCGAAACTTGGGCGCATGATGAAAAGTGAAAAGTGATTGCACGGTACAGCCTGTTGAACGCCGAACAAACGCACACAGTGAATTCACGAGGACAGTGAGGATGAGACCACCACAACAAGCACGCCGTTCAGCAGCAATGCTGTAAAACGAGCCACATTGAAGCCTAGATGCTTGAAGATGATGAAACTAGTTTAAAATTGGTCGGTTGACTTGTCAAAACCTGAAAAGTGATTTCGGAGCGGTGCCTCGAGGGTTGTGCCTGCTCAAACCAAGCCTAAGTTGGGATAAAAGGCGCCTGGACTTGAGCAGTATGCAGAAGCATGCAGAAGCGCTTCTGCATGGTTCTACTTTGAACGATCAACTCGACTTTACCCAAAACATTTGTCGAGGACTCCACTAAAAGGAAGAAGACTCTGAGCTTCACTCTGGTGGAAAAGGACCAAGAGTAGTGTTGTGATGCCCCATCTCGCATCAAGCCTTGGTCATTGTTAATATGACTGTCTAACTGGTCGCACTGCGCGTTGAATCGGTGACCAGGCCAAAAAAAAGTTCAGTGCAACTGCAAGAACCGCATGACCCAGGCCAATCATCATACCTCACCAGCCAAATGAGACGGACAAAGCATCTTCTCCGAGTCGCATCCTTGCTCCTAGAAGCGATGCCAGGAGCCCCTAATAGCTTCTTGTTCCTAGTAGTGAGCCCCTGGTAGCGTTCTTGCTCCTAGTAGCGATGCCCTTGTTACTAGTAGCTTCTTGTTCCTAGTACTCACACGAAAGGCATGCAGCGCAAAGGCAGCAGGACTGTTTCGATAGCTGCCTTGGTCTCTGCGTCGACGGCTAGTCGGGCGCCGCCAGAATCTGTACAAAATCGATAGGCTGTGCATCGTGCCCCACTGCCGCATTTCCGGGGAGGCTCTAGGTGAGCGATTGTGACTCCAACTTGGCCCAAAGCGTCCCGCGCTCTGCAGCACAGCAAGACTTGAAATCAAGATGGCTGAGTGATCTGAAGCATCTACAAAGAGCTTAAAATGATATCTCATCTAACTATCACTCGGCTGGAGTCATATTATTGAAGGGCCATGAGTACTCTCCCGCATCTGCAAGTGTGGAAGGGCCCCCATTTCTAAGCAGATCAATTGCAGCTGTCCGGCGAGCAAGCCTTCAAACCACGTCCGAACGGTGTTGTGGTGCAAAGCACAAAGCTTCGAGCCACTGCAACTCATTCGAAGAAATGACTCTTGGGCATTCTCGAAAAGGGTGGCCTGAATGGAAGGCCTCGGGCTGAAAATCGTGGCTTGACACGGAAATCCGAGGAACCATCCACCAAGCAATGGTCGGATGACATCTGTACAGTACCATGCAATGGGAACAGTTGTCACTTTTCCCCAAGAACGCATACCTCACGCACGCATTCTCAAAATTGCTGTGACAAGGTCATGGTCCCGTGCAGTGGCAGGCTCTGGAGTATTCATTTCAACGCACAAGGATTGAAATGGAAAACATTGTCCTATCTCAAAAGGATGCTTGAGGACTAAATCAAGCTCCGAGAGCACCTGCCTGCATCCCCGACCAAACCTGTCACTGTCAATCCTTACAGTCTACTGTCTACTCTGTGTACCCCATCCGAACAATATTGCGGCTCAGAAAACGTGCAATGCCTGGGAAAGGAAATGAAGCCAAGTCTTGTGAGGGTTCTTCGTGACTGTCGCCGCCTTGGGATGGTCCAGCTCTGGCATGATTGAAGTCAGAGTGCAAGGCTGTACCAACAACGCTGCCCTACATCACAGAACATTTGACACACTGTGCCCTGTTGGACGTTTCTGACCAATGTGTCACTCCACAATCTGCAACTGCATGCGTCAGCATACGATCCCTTCAATGAAGCTCTCCAAAGAGCGCTTGAAGATCGCACCTGCTTCACAAACAGTTACAATGAGACAAGCCCGCTGCCAAGGGCGGCAGTTCCCCAACCTTCACTGTGAGGTTGAGAATCGGCGCTTTCTCAAAAGGCGTCAGGCTCGCGGAGTTTCCCCCCGCTTCCGATGGTCACAAGAGTCACAACTACAACCAACATGAGGGCAGGTCCCCCATTCACAAGGGTTGCTTGTTCGGGCCTGGTTTAAGCTTCCAGAATGCTCTATCCTTCACGCGTGGCCCGGATCTGCTTGCCGTAATTATAGTATAGGGACGATATTTTGGAAGATATTAAAACAGTTAGGCAAATGGAAGAACTGTTGTACTTTTTTCCCGGAGTTTCTTACTCGCCTGGCCTGGCTTGGCCTGTACTATAAGACCAAATTTCTACTAGCAGTACATCCGATGAGCAGTATCGTCTTTTGTAGAATCTATATTATCGCATGTTTGTGGGTTTTTGTCCTTTTCCGTTCGTTTTCAAGCTGCTGTGGGAAGCTGATCTACTGGAGCCCTCGTCGCGATTGCTCTAGAGTGGCTCCCCAAGAAAAGCAAGCCAGACTTGATTTGGCAATTCGTCAGGATTTGGTCAGACTTGATATCGAGGAACTCGTTGGCAGCCAAAGCACCGACCCTTTGCATCCATGCTGCTCTTCGCACCTGTATACCTGATATAGTCTGGGCTATGGCTCGCATGGACACAAAAACACTCAAGGCCTACAATAAGTGGGTTGCAGGGGTTGTGAAATAAGAAATCGACTCAACGAAGGTACCCGTGAAGAGCAATGTCTTCGTGTTGTGTCCAATTCACACTCTAAATGGAAGAACGTAACCGGCGTAACCAAAAAAACTCTCAAGCAAATGTGAGTAAGAGACTTGCCAGAAGTTGCAAACAGATTGAGATTATCAAAAGATGAACTTATGGCAAGTCAAGTTCCTCTTTCTGTGCATGAAGGCTTTGGGTTGGCGCTTAAATTATGGTTTGGGTGGTTTTGGTTTTGGTCTGTCTGGTTCCTTCCTTCCTTCCCTCCTTCCTTCCCTCCTTCCCTCCCTCCTTCCTTCCCTCCTTCCCTCCTTCTTTCCCTCCTTCCCTCCTTCCTTCCCCTCCTTCCCTCCTTCTTTCCCTCCTTCCCTCCTTCTTTCCCTGCTTCCCTGCTTCCCTCCCTCCATTACTTCTTCCTTGCTGACAAAAAGGGACGCAAGAACAGGAGTAGTACCAATGCTTGGGCTTCTCAGAATGCTCTATCCTCTACACATGGCTCAGGCCTCCTTGCTGCATCAAAACTAAAGATACGATTTGTACCAGGGGTACATCCGCTGAGTCACTGGGCGTGGGAACATGCCAAGCGTCTTGCCTCACGGAGGGTTTGCACCCCGACCTTTACATCTGTCAGTGTCCAAGCATCCAGCATCTTCACTCTAGCTTTCAATGCAGAAAAGTAGAAAAACATGTGTCGGCATAAGTGTATACATGCAGCTCAGTCGTCGACCGGTCAGCTCCCTTCTTTTTCTCAAGTCGCAAGCAGGGAGCTG